CGGATGTGTACTTTCAAATTCTAGCGCACTCGAGCTGGTTTCTCCAAAATTACATACCCCACCTTTAATATACAATAATAAATACTTTTTTTTTCTTTCACTAGGTTTAGATCAGACTTTGACTGCATAGAGAATATGGGCGAAGGAACCTATGGTCAAGTTTTTAAGGCAATAGAAAAACTGACTGGGAAGAATCATGCAATAAAAATTGTACAATGTGGAGAGTAAGTCAAACATTATAATTACGTTGCATGTTTTTTATTAGACTTTTCCCAGTGCAATATAACATTTAAAGATGAAGTGCAAAAAAAGTAAATTTAGAGTAAAGCTATTTTCTTCTCCTTAGTATTGAAAAAGCTCTGCCAGAGGTGAAGACATTGATAAAACTCCATCACGATAACATCGTGCGATACTTCACCTGTTGGTTGGAGGATTCAGGATACAGTCCAGATGAGAGTGGCAGCTCTACACAGTAAGCGACAATCCGATATCCAATAAAGATACGTATTTGAGGTATGCACTTCTTCATTTGTCTTCTCTTTCTCCTCCAGGTGTTCTATCAATCCATCGATAAGGTACTTATATATTCAGCTGGAGTTGTGTGATTACACACTCAGAGTGTGGATAGACGAGAAGAATGAGGAGAAATCTCTGCGAGACTCCAAGAGAAGAGAAGAGGCTCTAACTAAGTTTCAGCAAATAGTCAGAGGAGTCGAGTACATTCACTCTAAGATGCTCATCCACAGGGACCTGAAGGTAAGAGAAAGTGGAGGAAAAAAAGTTTATTCCACCACGTCGATCATGAAAACTGCTTCTTCTCAATTAAGACACTTACCTTAGTAAACTGCTATGTCGTATAATGTGCAACCGGCTGCTGTGCCCTCAGAGAAAGTGTAAATTCTCGCTGTCTAGCAATGTTGTCGTTTTTGCAGTGTATTAACCCAATAATATTACTGGTGGCTGCTTTGAGAAGTGTAGAGGTGCATATATAAGATGGTGTAATAAGCCCACATGTATAACTTTTATTTTTATTATGCTGTGTTGTTGAGGTTCCCCCATCCTGGTTCTCTTAGTGCACTGCATTTTTCCATACTTCTCAGTTTGAACCCATTCATGTATTCAAAAAAGCAAGTGTAAATCCAAAAGTACGCATATTGAGAGTAGACGCAACATACACGTTTGTTTTTTTTATTTATTTCCCGTGTTTAGCCTGCCAACATCATGATTGGGCAAGATGGACAAGTGAAGATCGTAGACTTTGGTATGGTCACATATGACAACGATGCTGAGAACCCGAGGAACAGATTGATGTACAAAGGAACTCGTTCATACATGGCTCCTGAGCAGGTAAGATGTTCTGTACTGACACATGTCAAAGGGAGAGCTGGGAAGGTTTTACCAAATCTTAAAATGTGGGTTATAGCCAGTTTTGTAGGACCATTGAAGAAAAATATGCTGAGAATTTTTATTTTTATTCCAGTGCTGGCATATTAAATGGCAAGTGGTGATGTCTGTAGTCTGACTCGGTTGATACAACTTTGTAAATTTGATGATGTGGTTGCTTGACAATTAAAACCCCCTTATCACTAATTTCAGATTTCTCGCAAATTTTAAATGTTTTAATCTCAGCCACTTTAATATCTTAAAAATATCAGACTGGTTTCAATAACCATTGGATTAGATTCATGCGTTGACTTTAACACATATATACTTTATACATGTGGATATTAAACATAAACTTAAGATATATACTGTACAGCTGCATCTTGCCTTCTTGTCAATATTGTGTTTGTATTGTATCAAAACAGAAACTGCAAAAGACTTATGACCGAAAAGTTGATATCTTTCCTTTGGGGTTGATGTACTCTGAACTCCTCTGGAAAATGCCCACGGGTCATGAAAGGGCCGTGGTGAGTTTTCTCGCTACGATTAAAAATTCAGCTAACTGTGTACTTGTCATTGGTAATAACCTGCTATTTTATGCTGCCAGACATTTTTTTGTTCGAAACTATTTCAGGTCATCAGCATGATGGAGCAGATTTTTCAGTTCTGTCATTACAGTAACATGTCCTTTCACTGCACAGGTTCTGACCGACCTCAGAGAGCAGACATTTCCCAAAGAGTTTCAACACAATTTCTACCATGAGGTCTGTTATTTTTGTACATTTTGTCAATGTACATGCAATTTAGTTGTTTAGTATGTTAACATGCTCTTAACCCTCTTGTGTAACTATAGGGACATGTTACGCTTTTAAACTTTTCAATCATTTTAGCTGTGTTAATTCATAGGACATTAGCAAGGCTGTGAGATTTTCTATTTTATGTTCGAAGTTCAACCTTGTCTCTTATAATAAATCTATCTTAAAGTTTATGAAAAATGTAACACTCAGACCCTTAAGGAAACAAAAAAACGACAATAATACATCAAAACCAATCTATTTAATTATCCTTTCAATCTAGAGCCCTGACTTTCAAATTGTATATTTTACTATTTTCCACCAATTTAAGCCATGATTGCCATACGCTGCAAAAATATACAATTTGTTTATTGCACAAAAAATTATATTTACAATCTGCATTTCAAATTAAACTTTGTCTGTTTTCCCGGTGATTTCAATATGTATGAAATACGGCTGAGTGCAGTAATACTGCAGTTTCATAACATTTCTTAATGCCAGTGTTGGAACGTAACCAAGTGTGATTACTCAAGTACTCCACAAAAGTATATTTGGAGGAGCTTGTTTTTTTACTTAAGTATTTACATTTTATGCTAATTTATACTTCTACTCCACTACAATGTGGATACAAATATTGTACATTTACTCCTACTTTTAATTTACGGCTTTTGTTGCTTTAATTTATCACTGCAGGTCAAGTGACCCAGCAGCACATGAAGTAATTCAAATCAACTTTATCTTTATCATGGCTAACATTTAAAATGATGAACACATTAATTCATTAATCATTATTATACAATAATTTAATAGATATTATTCTGAAATGGGTCATCCTGCATAAGGATTTTTAATTCTTGTACTTAAAGTATATTGTGATACCAATACTCTTGTACTTTTACTTGAATTTTGAATGCAGTACCGAGTATGTTAACACTGTAGTAGTGCTAATTTAAATTAAGTAAAACATCCGAGTACTTCTTCCACCTCTGATTGATGCAACATAGATCTAAGTACCTGTTCTTTTTTTTTTTTTAGTACTTAGTAATAAAGCCAATGCTGTGTGAGAAGCCAGAACAGCGACCTGAAGCAAGTCAGCTCGACGCCGACTTGAAAAAGATCTCCGATAGCTTAGACATTGAAGAAATGCAACGTCGCGGAAGCAGGAGTATCTGATCCTATGATCCTGTTGCCAC